TGGAGTGGCCGTTGCAGTTGCACTCTACGACACGAGGCGAAAAAGCAAAGTTAGGGCCCGGTGCCACTGGAGCGTCGAGCCTGCAGGAGAGGCACGTTCAAGCCAGCTGCAGAACTTCACACTACAAATGCCACAAGCCCCTCGCGGAAAAACATGTAACTCTAAGAGCAAAAGGCAGTATCAGGCCTCAGATTTGCCTCTTCCTTCAACTCACTTTTGCACGCGTTGCTGTTGCGGCCTTCGGCGGGTCGCCAGGGTAAGTCATGGTAGAAATCCAAGCACTGCTCGCAGTTTAACCCCTTGGTGTTGTGTCTGCACATGCAGTGCCCGTGGACCTACCATTAAAATGGAAAACTTAGAATAATGTATTTGGTTATAAAAACAGGTAGGTCCAGTTTGTTTAAACACATGCTTTTCCAGTTTGTTTAAAACACAGCTGGTAAATAAAGTTTTTGGATATGCTATATATATGCTTTTGGGGTATACTTTTGCTTATACTTTAATGCATGTAGTTGCATGTAAGAGGACAGAAGTATCATTTATTTGCTTAGATGTAGCCATGCAAAACTGTCCTTCTTTGCATGCTGAAACTAATGCACGAACAAACGCCCTCAAGCATGAACAAGGAGAGCACAGTTCCAACTCCTGTAATCACAAAAGCCTCTTGGAGCTAATAATTAGCTGTGGATTAGCTATTAATTAGATATTAACATGCATCTAGTTACAGCAGCCTGCCACTTCTAGCCCAGTGCTGTTTCTGGAGCAGTACCTTGGTTCTTAATTAGGCCTACAGCTATGCAGACTTATAGATGCAAGTGCAGGTCTTGCTTGACTCAAGAAGGTGTTTCAGCCTTTGCTGCCCTTATTTATGCCCTTATTTAAGGTCATTCTAGGGCAATCAAGTCCAACAACAGACTCGCGTCTGACAGCGCACAGATAACTCTCTTTCTGCATTGCTGCCTTTAATCTTATCAGTTCTTTAACATAATTAGAAAAGGAAATTCAGGATGCTAAAATAATCTTCAATTTTTCTGAGCCCCCTGTGGTTGATTAACACCAATAATGACAGAAATATTCACTAATGAAGATAATGGTTTCCCTGCTTGGTAATTAAGGTTGAGGGAGAAGCCAGTTCCTGTCATCTTCCTACTTTAATGTCTTTATGTCATTGAGATTAAGAGAGGCAAAGTCAGACAAGGTTTTGTGGAGAAGAGTGGAATATTTACCATCCCTTCCACCTCCTCACTGAAGCCATCCACTGGCGCACACTCGCTGGCATGGCCGTAGCAGAAGCAGTTCCCACGAACCACCATGTCGTAAATGGCATAGTAGTATTTCTCCCTGATCTCCATCCTGGAATCCAGGAGATTATCTCCCAGAGTGTGCAGCTTGACGAATTTGACTCTCAGATTTGTTATCTTTAGGAGGTCTGCAAGGAATACCAAGAAAACCTGTGATGTTATTTATCAGATAACACACTGAATGGAAGGAAGCTGGGAAAGTTGCATCCTGAACAATGTGCGACTTCCCTGGGCACATGAGCACATCCCACCAGCTGAAATTTCTGGACTCATATACTGGACATCACTGAAATCACATCACTTCATATTCCCAAATTCCAGAATTACACTGACTTACTACAGGTGAATCACTATGTAAGATAGTTTAGATTTGATTTTAAGGAATTGCTGCATGGAGACCAGGTGGTTTAAAAATTATGAGCCTTTCAGTCTTTGGGAATTATATATATATATATATACACACACACACACATATACACATATATACATATATATATTCCCTTATATGCCCAGATTTCCTAGCTAATGTTATATTTTACTGAAAGATGTAACAATCTATCACTAACCAAATACAGAGTAAAAGTTTCCACAGGGTAATTTGTGGGAAGACAAAATTCCAGTAATTAATTCAATCTATCTGAACACTTGATGTTAAGAAGCCTGTCTTTTCTTACAGGCTTGAAACTCTGCCTGAAGCAGTGCTCCAAGCCAATGGAAGCAGAGAATCACAGTTTCTCCTTTACACTTTGGTTAAGAAACATGCTTCTGATTCAGCCACTAGCAGACACTCTTCTACTTCAGCTATTTTCCTCTGTTCCAGTTAAGCTGACACTGAAGGACACTAACTGAAACTAAGAAGGAAAAGGAAATTAGAGGTGAAGATTAAGGCCGAACTCTGCAGTTCCCTGCTCACGCCAAATGCACAATGACAGTTTTCTTTTAGCTGCACTATATCAATGTAACTGTAGGTCTGTATGCCTTCACTGCAATGACTGTAGAAGACTGTTTTTGTTTTACAGTCAGCGTGGACTTGGCAATACCAGCAGCAACCACTTAAAAACCATGACTTAATTTTAGCTTTAATTTTAGCTAAAAATGTGAAATGATATAAATATATTTATAGTTGTATTTTCTGAACACTGCACAATTAGGGGATCGTAATAACTGCCTGATCAATGAAGAAAAAGAGCAAATACAACGATATGCCTACGAACAATCAACAGAGTTGAAAACACTGTTCCTTATTTTCCCAAGAGACCACTGTCAGGAAGAGAAAAATACCACAAATGTATTAAACTGAAATCAAAATTATTTTACAGATTAATGTATGACTTTATGGCTTATTAGCTTTTCAAAAATAAGTAAATAAATACAGAATTGCTTTCAAAAGACACTGGAAGGAAACCGCATACATACTTTGAATTCTTGGACTGTATGGATCTTCAATTCTAAAAGCAGGGTCTAAAACACGATATATTACCTGGAGAAAAAACAGTACAATGAAAGACCAACCTTTAAAAATAAGACAATCTAAGTTTGTATAGAGGAAAGTCTATATGAAAAATAAATTAAAAAAGAAACACTCTAACCTCTCCCTCAGTTGAAGGCTCAATGTCAGAGTATCGCGAGTCACAAATGATATCATCCACTTTCTTCATGGGTCCAGTTGAAATTCCAGGAAAGGAGCTTTCACAGTCATAGGCAAAATACCTATATATTTGCCATGTTTTCCCAAAATCAGACGACCTTTCTATCAGCATTGCAGCAGGACGGAATGTCTAACAATAAGAAAATTGGAAGAGACTGTAGTCTACTCATTACCACTTGCATTTAAATTCAACACCTACAAACATGAGCAATTCATATGTCTGGATTTTTATTCTTTACTATTGATATTCTACCTTCTGTTCAGAGGCAGATCACCACCTTCTTTGAAATAACCCACAAGCTGGTCTGTCCTTAAAAACATGGCATTTAACAAGCCCCGCCGTTCTGGGAGCCGGCTGGGTCACAGTTACAGGCTACAAGGGAAGCGTCGGACACATTAGCTGCTACCGAGGAAGAAAAAAAAAGCCCTTTCTCACACTGAATTGCTTTAACTCATTTGCTACGCAGGAGGCGGTGCCGGTATCCTTATTACGAGCATTAAGTGGTTTGAATGTGTAATGGCCCAACAAATTTCCAGGTTCCTGAAGAGAAACAAAAGCCAAGCCAGGCTCAAGATCTCCAAGATAACACTTGTCCCTTGCCAGCCCCAGCGCTGCAACGGCTGCGGGACACGGCAGCAGCTCCTCTTGGTCCTCCCTATTCCTCTGAACACTCCAAACTGCTGCATGTGGCACGGGCACACGCCGGGGAGCGGGGTACTCACGCTCGCAGACGTCGGGGTCGCGCAGGTCTCTCTCGGGGTGCTGGAAGTAGAAGGGCTTGCACTGCTCGCAGTTGCGCCCCACGGTGTTGTGCTGGCAGTCGTCGCACACGCCGCCGCTGCTGTTGCCCGTGGCCATGTACACGGCCATGTCGAAGTGGCACCGCTGCGAGTGCTCGTTGCAGTCGCACCCTGCGGGGACGGCACCGCGCGCCGCATGCAGCGCCCTCACCCCAAACCCTGGTGCTGCTCCCTGCAGCGCCAAACTCTGGTGTGCAGCACCCTTGATCCCCAAGGCTCCTCGAACATGCAGTACCCTGAACCCGAGCACAGTCTGCAAGAGCCAGTACCCCCGAACACGGCGCCCCTCGGGGAAAAACATGTAACTCTAAGAGCAAAAGGCAGTATCAGGCCTCAGATTTGCCTCTTCCTTCAACTCACTTTTGCACGCGTTGCTGTTGCGGCCTTCGGCGGGTCGCCAGGGTAAGTCATGGTAGAAATCCAAGCACTGCTCGCAGTTTAACCCCTTGGTGTTGTGTCTGCACATGCAGTGCCCGTGGACCTACCATTAAAATGGAAAACTTAGAGTAATGTATTTGGTTATAAAAACAGGTAGGTCCAGTTTGTTTAAACACATGCTTTTCCAGTTTGTTTAAAACACAGCTGGTAAATAAAGTTTTTGGATATGCTATATATATGCTTTTGGGGTATACTTTTGCTTATACTTTAATGCATGTAGTTGCATGTAAGAGGACAGAAGTATCATTTATTTGCTTAGATGTAGCCATGCAAAACTGTCCTTCTTTGCATGCTGAAACTAATGCACGAACAAACGCCCTCAAGCATGAACAAGGAGAGCACAGTTCCAACTCCTGTAATCACAAAAGCCTCTTGGAGCTAATAATTAGCTGTGGATTAGCTATTAATTAGATATTAACATGCATCTAGTTAGAGCAGCCTGCCACTTCTAGCCCAGCGCTGTTTCTGGAGCAGTACCTTGGTTCTTAATTAGGCCTACAGCTATGCAGACTTATAGATGCAAGTGCAGGTCTTGCTTGACTCAAGAAGGTGTTTCAGCCTTTGCTGCCCTTATTTATGCCCTTATTTAAGGTCATTCTAGGGCAATCAAGTCCAACAACAGACTCGTGTCTGACAGCACACAGATAACTCTCTTTCTGCATTGCTGCCTTTAATCTTATCGGTTCTTTAACATAATTAGAAAAGGAAATTCAGGATGCTAAAATAATCTTCAATTTTTCTGAGCCCCCTGTGGTTGATTAACACCAATAATGACAGAAATATTCACTAATGAAGATAATGGTTTCCCTGCTTGGTAATTAAGGTTGAGGGAGAAGCCAGTTCCTGTCATCTTCCTACTTTAATGTCTTTATGTCATTGAGATTAAGAGAGGCAAAGTCAGACAAGGTTTTGTGGAGAAGAGTGGAATATTTACCATCCCTTCCACCTCCTCACTGAAGCCATCCACTGGCGCACACTCGCTGGCATGGCCGTAGCAGAAGCAGTTCCCACGAACCACCATGTCGTAAATGGCATAGTAGTATTTCTCCCTGATCTCCATCCTGGAATCCAGGAGATTATCTCCCAGAGTGTGCAGCTTGACGAATTTGACTCTCAGATTTGTTATCTTTAGGAGGTCTGCAAGGAATACCAAGAAAACCTGTGATGTTATTTACCAGATAACACACTGAATGGAAGGAAGCTGGGAAAGTTGCATCCTGAACAATGTGCGACTTCCCTGGGCACATGAGCACATCCCACCAGCTGAAATTTCTGGACTCATATACTGGACATCACTGAAATCACATCACTTCATATTCCCAAATTCCAGAATTACACTGACTTACTACAGGTGAATCACTATGTAAGATAGTTTAGATTTGATTTTAAGGAATTGCTGCATGGAGACCAGGTGGTTTAAAAATTATGAGCCTTTCAGTCTTTGGGAATTATATATATATATATATACACACACACACACATATACACATATATACATATATATATTCCCTTATATGCCCAGATTTCCTAGCTAATGTTATATTTTACTGAAAGATGTAACAATCTATCACTAACCAAATACAGAGTAAAAGTTTCCACAGGGTAATTTGTGGGAAGACAAAATTCCAGTAATTAATTCAATCTATCTGAACACTTGATGTTAAGAAGCCTGTCTTTTCTTACAGGCTTGAAACTCTGCCTGAAGCAGTGCTCCAAGCCAATGGAAGCAGAGAATCACAGTTTCTCCTTTACACTTTGGTTAAGAAACATGCAACTGATTCAGCCACTAGCAGACACTCTTCTACTTCAGCTATTTTCCTCTGTTCCAGTTAAGCTGACACTGAAGGACACTAACTGAAACTAAGAAGGAAAAGGAAATTAGAGGTGAAGATTAAGGCCAAACTCTGCAGTTCCCTGCTCAGGCCAAATGCACAATGACAGTTTTCTTTTAGCTGCACTATATCAATGTAACTGTAGGTCTGTATGCCTTCACTGCAATGACTGTAGAAGACTGTTTTTGTTTTACAGTCAGCGTGGACTTGGCAATACCAGCAGCAACCACTTAAAAGCCATGACTTAGATGTCCTAAATAACAAAACATAAAAAGTGAAATGATATAAATATATTTATAGTTGTATTTTCTGAACACTGCACAATTAGGGGATCGTAATAACTGCCTGATCAATGAAGAAAAAGAGCAAATACAACGATATGCCTACGAACAATCAACAGAGTTGAAAACACTGTTCCTTATTTTCCCAAGAGACCACTGTCAGGAAGAAAAAAATACCACAAATGTATTAAACTGAAATCAAAATTATTTTACAGATTAATGTATGACTTTATGGCTTATTAGCTTTTCAAAAATAAGTAAATAAATACAGAATTGCTTTCAAAAGACACTGGAAGGAAACCGCATACATACTTTGAATTCTTGGACTGTATGGATCTTCAATTCTAAAAGCAGGGTCTAAAACACGATATATTACCTGGAGAAAAAACAGTACAATGAAAGATCAACCTTTAAAAATAAGACAATCTAAGTTTGTATAGAGGAAAGTCTATATGAAAAATAAATTAAAAAAGAAACACTCTAACCTCTCCCTCAGTTGAAGGCTCAATGTCAGAGTATCGCGAGTCACAAATGATATCATCCACTTTCTTCATGGGTCCAGTTGAAATTCCAGGAAAGGAGCTTTCACAGTCATAGGCAAAATACCTATATATTTGCCATGTTTTCCCAAAATCAGACGACCTTTCTATCAGCATTGCAGCAGGACGGAATGTCTAACAATAAGAAAATTGGAAGAGACTGTAGTCTACTCATTACCACTTGCATTTAAATTCAACACCTACAAACATGAGCAATTCATATGTCTGGATTTTTATTCTTTACTATTGATATTCTACCTTCTGTTCAGAGGCAGATCACCACCTTCTTTGAAATAACCCACAAGCTGGTCTGTCCTTAAAAACATGGCATTTAACAAGCTGTTGAATGAACAAGCTGTTAAATATACATATAATCAAAAAGCAAACGCCTACATTTCTCAGAATCCAGATCCCTTTTCAAAATTGCAGGTCTAAAAGTAAGGCGTTAGGGAGACAAAATGATGTTTTCTACTGCTGGTAGAATGCAATGCAGGTTCTTGGGTTGCCCCAATCCTCGTTTTATCTCCCACATTTGGAGCTGCTGGAGACCTGATGCTCTCCAGTCGCACAGGGAGGCCTGGGCACAGCCAGGGACCTATGTTCAGGGCTTGCTGTTCTTCTTGGAAATTCTTGCTGAGCAAGTTCTCTGGGATGTGCAGAAGAGGCGCAATGTCCTCCTCTCTCTCCATCTGTCCACACCACCTCTCACCTAAGAGTTGTCCTCTATATGTCCTCTCCTGCCTCTTGAAGGACACCCAGACATTCAGCACATCCATCCCTACCGCATTTGGCTCCTACTTGAGCTGCCTTCGACCAAACTCTGGCAGGCTCCATTTGTTAAAACAAACCTCCTTCCTTCTTAGCCACATGTATTCAACTCGAGAAGAATTAGGTACTGAGATTTCTCTTCTTTTCTTTTCTTTTCTTTTCTTTTCTTTTCTTTTCTTTTCTTTTCTTTTCTTTTTTCTTTTAAATTATTCCCTCTCATTTAATTTAAAGACCTAGTGATGATCTTAATGTTTCAAATTCTCAACTACATTTCAAAACTCAAATTAACACCCATCTTGCACCACCTGGGTAATGCCAACAACAGCTTCCTCATCAATTTTGTGGTTTTGGACTGAACCCTAAAAAAGCTGAGGACAAAAACATCTCTGTCGTGGTTGGAAAGAAAGGATTTTTTCATGGCTTTCTGGCTGAAAATATCTACAAATATCTTACAAAGAAAAAAAACATAGCAACTCCAAGGTGAGGCAGCTCAAGTGTAAATCCCACAAGTTCAGTCAACGAATCCCCATTAAAAATTGTCCTTCCCCCACAGGCTTCCCAAGGGTGCCCCACGGGCCTGGCCCTGGCACGGACTGAATCCGTCCCACGTTCTCCTCCTCAGTCAACCGTGTCCTCCCTGTCACAAACTCATCCTGGCCCCGCTCCAGACAGTCACACTCCCACCCACATTGGGTTTGGAAATCCTCACCCCAGCGGAAAGGGGCCCATGCAACACGAGCACCTTCCACAGCAGGCTTCACGTGAGAATCTCAGGGGTCCCCATGCTTGCTGCTGGGGTGGCAGGAGAGGATGCTGTCCCCGCGTGGCTGCCACCACGTGCTACCAATGCCAAGGAAACCCACAGCAGAAATCTGGCAGTTCTGCTCCCAAGCCACCAAGCAAGACCAATCTGTTCCCAAGGGGCCCGCAGAGCTGCAGCCCCTGCAGCCTCAGCTGAAGGCTGCCATGAGCACTTGCCGTGATCTGGGACACACAGGAGATAATCTGCCCTGCCAAGAACATCTGTTTAAACAGAAACAAAGCCACTTTGTGTACAGATGTTCCTTCTTCCTGAAGACCTTTCCATTTGCCAAAAGAAAACTGATACTGAGGCCAATTTCTTTTAAGGAAAAATCCTTGCTAACATATGATTTTGCTAATGACCTGCAACATAAGCATTACAGAGAGAAACAAACAGTGTAAAATCTACCTTCGGTGCAACTCCTTCTGCAGCTTCGTGCACTTGGAAACTTAAACACAAGTCACAACTCATCCTTCCTATGCGACCTCCACTTGTTAACTTCAACTCTGACTTGCTAACGCTTGACAGCTCTAAAATGCAGGCAAAATAGCTCAAACAAAGCCCAAATCCCAAATATGAAATGGATGTGAATGATGGAAGAGAGTTGTCAGCTCCTCGTGTTTCAGGAGATATGAGTTTTTCCACAGGCGGCACTTTTTGTGCTCCCAGAACACCTAACAAAACTGGGAAACCAGCCTCCCTCCACACCTTCGTGCATGCCAAGGGTACTTTAAGATGAAAAAGTCTGTTTCCTCGTATGGCGACTTTGCGGTATTTTTCCTCACCCATCTTAGTCCCAGGAAGGGGGGAAAGGGCGAGGTGGGTCCTGACACTATGGGGGACACCAGTAGCCAGGGCTCCCCGCGGGGTCTGGGGCCTCCTTACCTTGAACGTCATGATGAGATGAGTGAAATGAAATTCGGCCTCCAGGTTCAGCTGGATAGTCACGTTCTCCAGACCTGCAGGGGCAGCGCAACAGAAACAGGGATGGCCATCAGCCGCCACCCCAAGCCTTCCCCAGAAGCTGTTTTTGCTGGCGACAGACCCTTCTCTTTGTCATTGGACTCTACCATGTATACGGCTGGTGCCAAAAGAGCAATAAGGAGCAGCTGGGGAGGAGCTTCTCCCAAGGCAGCACCGAGGACCTGCCAAGATTGCACCATGCATGGGACAACCGTGCACCCCAACAGGGCCTGGTGGGTTCTCACCCATCACCCAAACCTTCCTATGACCGCTGACAAACGAGAGGTTTTCCAAACCAGGACTACATGTGGCCAAGGGTTCCATGTGGAAAGGAAGAAAAACAGTTAGAAATGTTATTTTGTCATGTGGAAAGACCTCTCGAAACAGCTGGTTACTAATTACATTGTGGTTAGAGATATATTAAAAAGATCTAGTAATATTTACAGAGGGGGGAAAGTAAGAATAAACCAATAAAAGGCTTAGATTTTCAAACAGATATAACTTCCCCTGGAATATGCAGCAATGATCCCTTCTGCTGCATGCCTGAGCGACAGAAAACATAAATTGGACAGAAAGAATCACTTGTTTTTTATCGTTGAAGGACATTTTCATGACCTTATGAGCTAAGAACTTTTCTGTGCAAGCGCTGCCAAGCCTATTGCAAAAAACATGAATTATTTGCAATGCCAGAAGAGAACCACTGGAGACAAGCGCCTTGCTAGCTCAATCTAAGTGTCTAAAAGGGATTTAGCAAGAACTTTCTTTACCAGGCAATAGAAATGTGTGAACATTACCGTGTTATTTTAACATATGACAAGACAGCTACTGTCAAATACACTTGCAGAAATCCAAACCTGTCTGTGTGGCTTTAAGTGCTACCTTACAGCTTTTAGGGCAGGACTGCTGTGTGAAAAAATCTAGACTCCTTATTTTGTATATCCTGGTATGTCAAAAGCTAAGCACATACAAGGAAAAGGGGAAGAGGAATAGAAGATGAAAAGGGGTTTAATAAATAAATAAATAAGTCACCAAAAAGTCAGCATTTGCCTTTCTCCTCCCAGCAGGACGGCCTCAGTGGCGCTGCCGGGATATATTGGTTCCTGGAAGATGCTCCCGCTCGCTCGGAAGCGGCGCTGGAGCCAGCGCAAAGCTCCTCTCTTTAGGAAAAGCCTGTTTGAAAGCACTGGGACAACTCCTTCCGGCGCTCCCGGAGAGCCGGGGGCCGTGGTCCAAACCAAGCGAGCGCGCCAGGACGCACAACGCGGCCGGGCGGCCGCGAGCGCTGCGGGCAGCGGGAGCCCCCAGCAGCCGTAATTGCCAGGCTCGAGATAAGAGCAAACAGGGAGGCAGCCTGAAACAAAGGCCGGCAAAGAGAGCCCTGTGCCGGGAAGCGGCTCCCAGGCTCCCTGCGTACCGTTTTCCGACTGCCACCAAAGCTTCAGGCGGTTCGGAGCGAACGTGGTCACCACGTTTTCTATACGGTGACTATCAGGATTGAGGGTGTCATGGAAGGGATCCTCCGAGTCACATATGAAACACTTTTTGTCCTCCTGAAACAACAAGATAATCAGTTTTATCCAAAGGGCAATAGTTGCTTCCTGCAGATAAGAGTATTTTCCATCAATTTCACATTCCACTCCTTTTGTCTGCCAGAGGCACCAAAGGTATTTCTTTTTTTTTTTTTAGACAATAAAGTGTATTTACCTTTTTGAATTAAATGCAAATTGCAAGCCAGACGGAAAATATGCCAAGAATTCAATAAACCTTATTTTTATGAGAAGTATGCTTTCTGTCTAACTTACAGTCTCAGGAAACCTCTTTCAGCAATACACATTCTCCCGCACAACTCAGAATCAAAGTAAACATTTATGGTAAATCATTGACCTGGCTCCGCAGGGCTGCACTCACACGAAACTGCACCTTCAGAAATCTGTGAAATCACATCGGCTTTTAGGAGCTGGCTTGGAAATTAAGTTCTCCCTACGGGAGAGACTTCTAGGGAGGTTCAGTGCCCCTCAAGGACTCATTGGGGCTGCAGTAACTGGGTCCTTTCAGCATGGGGTTAACTTCATTCTGCACGCAGGTCTGTGCCTCGTGCTTTCCATGCTCCTGACATGGTCCCAAGTGGGAACGACCTCCCTCGTGCACGTCCTTTGTAGCCCCGTCCTGCCCCGTCCTCGGCGCGTTCGAACGCACGGCGCCAAGAGGGCGCTTGGCTCCGGTCTGCACACGATCTGAAGGATTTCTTCACTGGTACAGAAATAACCAGGGACACAGCAGACAGCCACAGAGCTGTTGGCTGCAAGATGGAAACAAGGGCACGTCTGAGCTTCTCCAGCGGTGCTTTTTATTGCGAAACCCCCCGATGCTTTGGCAGTTTGAGACAAGAACAAAAAAATCAGGCCCTGGTTGTTTTGTTCTGCAGAGATCCTACGGTCCTTAAAGAAGCTATGGATCAGTGCTGACATACACTCAAAATGTTCCTCCAAACTCCTCTCCGTGGTACATCAAGCACAGACGCAAGAGCGGTGCAGTAAAGCCAACATGTGCACGCTGTGGGGCAGAGATTAGGCAACTTTGGGACACAAATGGACCAAGCTCTATGGCTACTTAAGCAGGGCTCTTGGTTGCAGCAGTTTCCCTTCAAAGCGACAAAATCAGGTCCCTTTGTCCCCACAGTAAATAGGGCTGGATATGAAACCTCTGGTTTCACTTTAACAGAGCTCCCTTTGCAACTGATATTTTATACTTATCCAGCACCCGCTCTGACTCGGAGAGCAGCTTCTTTCAGCCTGTGGATCAAAAACCTTTGTGCTTCCCCCGAGATGCGCTGGCCAGCTCTGCTCTGCGCGCACCCCTTCCCTCGGCGATCGTACAGGACTAATCATATTATGTGAGCGGCGGCGGGACCTTAACGCGGCGCTGCAGGCCCGCTCCGAGTCAGGAAGCTGTCTAGACGGGGCTGCAAAAAGCGCTAATTGGATGTAGGGGGGCACATTCTTGCTCAGCAGCAGCTCCCGCGTGGCGTCCGCAGCCTCCGACCCACAGCGTGGGGCACCCGCGTTGCTTTGAGGGACCCGACGCGGCAGCGCTGTGCGGTGGGAGCGCAGCCCCGGGGCAGAGGGAGGTTAAAACAACCCCTTCCCTCCCTCCCACCGTCCGTCCGTGAGGTGCTCTGGGGAGAAGATGGGTCCCCCCCATCATCATGGGTCCCCCCACACTGGCCCCATGCCAAGGCCCCACCTCACGCGGTGCTCCATGCTCTGCGCCCCACATCAGTGCCCTGTTCCTCTCCCCCCACCACTGCTGTGCCCCACAGCCCATGCCCCACACCAGTGTCCCATGCCCATGCAGCCCGTGTCACCGCAGTGTCCCACGCTCTGCACCCCACGTCACTGCCCCGCGCCACGCTCCGCTCACCTGGAGGTGGCTCACGATGCAGTAGGGCTCGGGCTGCCGCAGGCCGCACGTGGAGGACGCGGAGAGCCGCGAGGCGCGGCCGATGAGCAGGTCGCCCGTGGCCGGGTAGCAGCTGCCCTCGGCGCAGC